CAGAACGAACTTAGCACACACGTGCGCATGATCCGAAGTCAGGTAAGTGTTCCATATTCACTTGCAGTCCGTTATGCAGCCACGCCAATGGTAACTAACCGATGAGGTCAATTTGCGTCCAAGATTGACCAGACGCCGGAGGTCGCAAGGTGGCTCGTTGGCGCCAGCAACGTCGGAATTTGGTGCTAGAGTGGAACAAGCCGTGGTCGGCGCACAGTTGCAGGAGTCAATCTCTGTTGTCCGTCCTGCGAGTACCGTTGCTGTGTTGACCCCCAAGTTCTCGCTCATGAACCTCTAGTCTACCGACCTGCGCATTTAGGTCACCGGCGAGTATCACGATGTCCGTGCGGCGTTTCTTGCGGAGAAGGTCGGTGAGTTGTCGGTAGAACCCATCTTTAGCTTCGTCCGGGCTGCAGTCAGTTGGAGCGTATGCCGCTACAATGAATAAGCAGCGCCTACTGGTCCCGTGACTGGAAAATCGCACTGAGATTTCCAAACGGACTGCACAAAGACAACTGTTGACCGGGAACCAGTCAATGAGCGCTGCCTCACCACGCGAGCTTAACGCAACTCCTACGCCGGCGCAACCAGACGCTGCCGCTGTCGCATCTCCAGCTAAGCGCAAGTTGAGTGCGCACTTGTAACTTGGGGAGGGTGAGGACAATCGCAGCATTGTGCTGGAGTCTTGTAGACGGGTTTCGGTTAGACAGCAAACGTCGTTTGAGAGGGTTTCCAAGGTTCGCGCAAGAGCAGCTTGTGAACCAATCTGCATGAGCTTTCAAACATTGAACGCAGCTAGCTTGAAGAGCGACCGGGGTGCAATAAAAGCCTTGCTGTTTGTATTGGAATGTGTGCGATCGGTTTTGCGCGGTTCATTGAGGAGACCAAAGGTACCGTTATTATTTGCAATGCACTTGGAGATTCGAAATTGAAGGCGGGTTGCCAAGAACAGGCGGATTGTATAAACGTGGAACGAAGAACGTGGTTTGCGGTGCGGTAGAGTAAGGTATATAATGTCCGGCCGCCAGCACCCCGGCCAGAGAGAGAGAGTTCGGAGAGCAAGAGACGTGAGCAGAGAGTTGTTAATCCAGCATTTCATGTGTTGTTTGGGCAAACAGCTTCCCGGTTGCCCAGGCCGAGAAAGGAGGTTAACTTAGGGGAGTCCCACTCGGAAGCTTTGGTCATAGGGACCTGACTCGCGAGGCAGCGGGGTGAATTCAGGGAATCGCGCCCATTGGGAGCCGGTAATCGATTGCTCGGTTCATACGCCTTTCGTTTGGCTGTCTGTCAAACAGGGGCCCAATACTCCCAGTAATTCAGCGTCTCGCTGAATGATTACAATGCTCCAGCGAGGGGAAGCAAGGGGCAGTGACTATTTAGTGGCGAGTCACGTCCGCCATGTCGCAGTGTTGTTAAATGGACAAATGTGGCTTTTTATAGCGAAAACGCTTGCATAGTTCCGGTTGGATTATACTGATCGCAATCGCTTCAGCCATCCGTAACATTTGCTTCCTAAGACATTTAGTGCCCTTTGCTGTACTACATAAAATAGTTGGAAGGCATCAGCGGTTCTAATCTGGTGTCTGATTTCCACCAGATGTTCCAGGATGGAACTGTTGGGGCGACTGATTATGCCTTTCCGTAAAGCCGCCTGGCAATGCTCCACAATGCGTTTAGACAGACGTCTCGTTGTGTCCCACGTACCTCGCACCACAGGCGCAGGTAAACTGATATAAAATGTTATATTGGGACTGAACCGGAAGTCTGTCTTTAACGCGTTGGGCTATAAGGGGAGCGGTTTCCGCAAGGATGTGTGGGCAAGCGGCCAGGTAGGTTCGAGCCACTGCACTGGAAATGTTCTGGTCAACAGATCAAAGACAACATCGCTTTTAAAGGGAACTGATAGGAACACGTCCTTCTTAGGGACAGTAGTAATCACTTCACGGCTATCATGGATCACTGCATACCTTTTGATGAATGTTGTCGGGTAACCGTTATCTTGCAGCGTTTTGATAACACGGATCTTTTCGTCCTCTGGCGTCTCTTGGCTACAAATTTTCACAGCACGAAAATACAAGCAGCGAACAAGATTACGTTTGTACCTCTAGGGTGCAAAGCTTAGCAAATGTCTATATTGGTCTGCGCATGCGGCCTTCCTGAATGCACTTCTTTCCAATGCACCGTCATTTCTTCGGCTTAACAACACGTACAAGAAGGCTAGCTTTCTATCTCTTTCGGTTTCGATAGTGAACTTCAACGATGTATGAATACCGTTCAACTGGTTTAACAGATTGGAGACATCGGTGTTTAAATTGCAGATTATAAAGCTATCATCCATATAACGACAACAGAAATCAAACGATGCTATGAGGGGTCGTATAGCTTCACACTCAATCATAGCGAGGAAAATATCAGCAACGAGTGGTCCTAGTGGGAACCCATCGCGACACCGTCAATCTGTTGACCAGAACATTTCCAGTGCAGTGGCTCGAACCTACCTGGCCGCTTGCCCACACATCCTTGCGGAAACCGCTCCCCTTATAGCCCAACGCGTTAAAGACAGACCTCCGGTTCAGTCCCAATATAACATTTTATATCAGTTTACCTGCGCCTGTGGTGCGAGGTACGTGGGACACAACGAGACGTCTGTCTAAACACATTGCGGAACACTGCCCGGCGGCTTTGCGGAAAGGCATCGTCAGTCGCCCCAACAGTTCCATCCTGGAACATCTGGTGGAAATCAGACACCAGATTAGAACCGCTGATGCCTTCCAACTATTTTATGTAGTACAGCAAAGGGACACTAAAGGTCTTAGGAGGCAAATCTTACGGACGACCTAAGCGATCGCGATTAGTATAATACAACCGGAATTATGCAAACAGAAGGGTTTGTTGCAAGAGCTTCTTCTACCTTGGCCCTAGTTAGCTTACCGACTTTGACAACGGAAACGGTGTCGTTATCCTGTTCCTGGATATGCAGAAAGCCTTTAATAGATTACCTCACAGGTTACTAAACAAACCGAAGGCTATAGGCATTGGAGGACCGATGTTCTCTTGGCTGTCTTCATATCTAATTGGTAGACAGTAGATGGTGCGCATAGGCGACCATTTCTCTAAACCGAAAGCAATCACTAGTGGAGTGATTCAAGGAAGTGTTCTTGGTCCTCTTCTTTTTCTAATTTATATTAACGATATATTCCAGAGAATAAGAAATGGCATTGCATTCATCTTTGCTGATGACATTAAAGTTGTCTAGTCACAACCACGTGCAAATACTCAGGAAGCCGTACGTCTCATTCAGGATGACCTATCTGCTCTTGACTCCTGGTGCCAACTGTGGCAGATATCATTTGCCGTGGACAAGTGTAATATTTTGTCGTACAAATGCCAAGTACCGCCAGACAGTTTATTACTACAAGGCGCATATATCTCGCAATGCAGGGCGGTTGGCGACTTGGGCGTGCGATATTCAGTCACGTTTAACTTTTCTGAACACTGTGACTTTCAAGTTTCGAAAGCCATGAAGACCATCGGTTATATCTGCCATCATTTTTACCTCACGGAATCTCGCATATCGCTTTACAAAACATATGTATTGCCGTTTATGGAATACAGCTCAATGGTACAGTCTAAACTGCGGAAATCTGACCAGCACGCTCTTTAGAGGGTCCAGAGACGCTTCAAGAAAAAGCTATGTGGATATTCCTCAAAGTTGACGTACAGAGAGCGATGTGCTAAACTTGGTTTTGACCCAGTTTGGCTTCAGATACTGAAGCTGAACCTATCTTTTCTTTACAGAATCATAAATTGTCAAGTTCGCAGTCTTGAAAACGGTGTTCACATATCTTTAAACAACAGATATCCAATGCGTAACAAAGTGGTAAGGGTCATGATTTCAAAATTTACTACGTGAATCAGAGAGCGTTTCTTTCTAACCCAATACTCAAAGATTTGGAACAAACTTTCAAGTGATATCTGGACATGTTATACGCTGCAATTTTAAGCTTACGATTAGTAAGCATTTAACCGTTCAAAACGTGATTAAGATGTTCGAGACATCACAGTCCCTAGATAACGCATTCTAAAACGGTGTCCATGGTGCCTGAATAGATTTCCGAAACACACACATAATATTTCGTACGACAGCCCCTTTCATTACATATTTTCTCGGCCCAAATATCTGTCATGTGATTGTACAAAATCCTAATTCAATGGCAGGAAAAGAAATTGCAGAACGATTCTGATTACTCTCTGTTACCTACTTTGCAATTGCGCCCATGTTTATCTCTGAAAATGTCTTAATGAAATGTCACGGAAAAGTTGTACCATTATTTGATCTGTTCCTTCTAGGGAACAGCTTCTCGCATCGTCGAGGAATGTACAACTTATTTATTTAAATGCCTGAGGGGATTTGTCGAGAAGAATGCTCTTCGCAAAATTATATATATATATATATATATATATATATATGTACATATATCGATTCGGGTTTATACTAGATATGGGGTGGGGATGGAGGTGTGGGTGGTGCAGCGCGTGCCACCCATGGTCCCTCTGTAGGCGCCGGCGTCCTGTGGCTGGCCACAGTGATAGACAAATCCGAAACCGCATGCCGTCAACCATATATATCGCTTGACCTACACTGTTGCTTAGCGGCATTCTGCTATCCGCACAGTCCTCTATACATGTTCTTTGCCAATATTTCCAGACTTACGTACACTTAGGAATATACACACCGAATTTGCATACCAGGCAAGACTCAGGAATCTGTAGCTGGTTATGACACGGGCAAATTGAACCTCACAGCCTCGGCCGTTACAAGCCTGGCTCACGTTAACTCAATGACTGAAAACTCAGCTGCATCTCATCCTACAATACTTCGTACTGTTTTTTGTTTTCCTCCTTTTTAGACTATATTTCAGGTTCATGTGTAGCCCATCAATGGCCCATTGTTACACCGCTCTTTAATGAACTAACTGACAATGCGTTTTTCATTTCAGGCTTCTAATCTATATATAGACGGCCCGCAATTATACCACCGTCATATTCCTTTTCCATTGCACTCAGATCTATTGTCATGCGAACAGTTTCGTGTTTCCTTACCCTTTCTGATCCGCTTGCACAAGCATTTATCTCTAACTTCTTTGTGTGGATATATTACCGTTTTGGCTCCCTGTCTATCGGAATTAAATCATGAGACGCCACGACAGAGCACAGAGGACTCGATATCGGATGACACTGCGCAGGTGAACTCCCCTTTGACGCCAAACCATTTGGATTGTGAATTCCCTCTTAATCCATCGGATATGGTTCTCCACCCTGAGGAAATATTTGAGCTAGTGCGACAAAACCAGCCTTTCTACTTTATCTCTCTGCATCTGGGGTTGCCCATCTTCAGCTTTTCTTTGTTGCAAGCAGTTTGCCATCAAGTTATATCAGATCATGTGAACTTACTATTGCCAGCCCATCGATCCAAGTTAGATGCTGCGAACAAATGCTTAGCCTCGAATTTGTACCAGTTTATGAGTGATCTGTGTGACACGGAGGGTTTTCTTCCCAATGCGTGCCCTCCAGCTGTCAACGATCGCCCCTCTTGCTGTTGGCCGTTTCCGTCTCGTAACGTGCTTTGTTTTAACGGTCAGCTGACCTCACTGCCGTGACACTTTTCCCTCAATCTTTGCAACCGATACCACTTCTTTCACATCCCGTTATCCCTTGAGCCGTTTTTATTACCTGACTTATTTTGTGCAGAACCACGTGCCACGATTATTGACTTGTTTCCTACTCCTTGTTTTCACTTTCGCAAATATTTTTTTACCAGTGATCAGTAAATACATATACTTAAAGTCGAGTTCTCCACTTTATTTTTTGCGTTTCCTGACGTTCGCGTTTTTTTGTCTATTACTTTATCTTGAGGCCTCCCTTTATTATTTACACCACCATCAAGCCCCATCATATCCCTGATTAACATATGTTATTTACCTCATTTCAACCTTCCTCTGATTTGCTTCAGCCGCATAGTAGGGTATGTCTCTTCTCTCGCGATATTCTTGTCACCTGTGAAAGCGGTTGGTAACATCGTTATGTTAGCGTCGGGACCTTGTTACGGTGTTGGTCTTTAGGTCATCGACATTTTGGTTTGGAGTGATTTTCTAGGGAGATTCGTTGTACTTTGGCTTAGCCACACCACTACATCATCATCATCATCATCATCATCATCATCATCATCATCATCATCATCATCCATCATCACACGTTAGCTGGAGGTGGAAAACACCTCAGCTATTGTGCCGCAATGCAAAATACAAGACAAGAAAAACGAACAGTGGCGAGCCCGCTGAGTCCCCAGTAACGGATGGACATCGTTCCGGAGAGCTAACAGCTGGCTAAAATCTGATCTCACGTTCGACTTCTGTGCGTGAGGGCGGATCCAAGGAGAAGGGCGCTCAATGCCCGAAGAAGAAAGCGATAACGCAGGTTGGTTAAATTGCCTTGCAAAGTGTTCAGCCCAACGCTCCAAGCGTTTTCACAGGCTGTGAATCGGCTACGCACTCTCTTCGCGTATGGTCTCGCTAACACCAGGTCTTCTGCTGCCTGTTTCCCGTATCAGACGGAATAACTTACGATGATTACCCACGGCAGCGGCTGTTTCCATCTCAGAGGTACGGTGAGACCACCAGATTTCGCGGTCCTTCTTTAGGCTAGCACGTAGTTTTGCCCTGATTTTTGCGAGCCTCATTGTATTCGCTTCCAGCCGGAATACGTCGGCGAGCATCCATAAGTTCCACAGACTGTGTAGAGACCCAGTGTCTGGTTTGGCAACTTGTTTTGCCACATGAAGACATGCCTGCTAACAGCAACGCTTGACGAATATGCGACCAGTGATCTTCAACGGTGTTTAGTGGGCGCTTACTCAGCCCAGATGTCAGCGCGCTTTGGTACACATTCAGAACATCTTGCTTCGCCAGCTGGCTGGTGTCAATCCGTTCACATCGACGTTGCGGACGTCCACCGAAACGCACCAGGAGGTCGGCACAGACAAGTGCATGGTCAGAGACCACGCTCGTGCTCTAAATCGAGCGACAGTTTTGGACACAGCCTCTCCAGCGGTAACTGATCGCGATATGATCGATTTGCGTCCATGGCTGGCCCGAGGTTGGTGTCCGCCAAGTCACACTTCTGCGGGTGCTGTGTCGAAAGTTAGTGCTCGCGCGAAAGAGGCGAGCATCCTCACACAGCTGTAGCAATCGCTCACCATTATCATTACGGGAGCCTACACCATGTTGGCCGCCCAGATGAAGTTCATCAGAGGACAATTTTCCGACTTGGGCGTTTAGATCGCCAGCCAACACCACAGTATCCGTGCTTCTTCTGTAACGAAGGAGCTCTTGAAGTTGCTGACAGAAATCATCTTTTACCGAATCAGTGCTACAGTTTGTAGGGGCGTAGGTCGCAATGACAAACAGGCACCGTTTGTCCCTGCGCGACTTCGTAGCACGGAACGAACCAGCTAATCTAACGGCGCACATCCTACTGTTTACTGGGATCCAATCAATCAGGGCAGCTTCAGCCCGTGGACTCAAAACAATGCCGATGCCAGCTTGACCGGCATTTGAAGCTGCATCATCGCCAGACAGGCGCAATGAGAATGTGCAGCCAGTGTCACATGTGGAGGATCTCAGGCTAAGCACGGAGCTCGAACTTTGCAGGTGGGTTTCTGATAAACAGCAAACATCGATCGATAGGGTCTCTAGTGTGCGGGCAAGTGCTGCCTGTTGGCCAATCTGCAGCAAAGTGCGCACGTTGAGGCATGCCAGTCTTAGCGAGACACGAGGACTCGAAAGGGAAACGGATGAACTGGCGTTGTCCGTTTGGTTGAACATGGACTTGTCGACTGGATTGGAGCGAGGCCCTGCGATTGTGTGATTTGAAATTAGAAGACAAGCGACTATTGAAGTAAGCTGCGGGAGGGCCAAGAATTGGGGGATTGAAAATGTTGGGGGGATATAAGTAAAGTTGGAGCGGGACGATAAAGATGAAGAAGCGCAAGAAGGGGTATAAGAAGACGGGAAGGCCTGAGCAGTAGCATCCATACCCCTATCCACCCTGCTCGCTGCAGCAGATGGGGCGCCGTTTATTATCCTCTGCGACGGTCAGAGCATCAAGAAATTGTTGTAGGAAAGGTTCACTGTATTGCGTGGGCAGAATACTATCTACATTCGGAGGACCCTCAGTGTAAGCTTCCCATTTTTGGGTACTGCCAAAGGTGTGTGTTTTCATCACATTCGAAACGTAACGCTTTTAACGATGAGCAACGGCGGCTTCTACTCTGGTTAATTTACTAACTGCGCCTTATACATACGCTCGTAGTATATTACCATGCATGTTGCAATCGTGTAGAGGAGACGGATGGCGCCCAAACGCTGTTCACTAGTTAAAACCCGCCAACTCGATTGCCAGTGGATCGTAAGGGATATCATGGCTCTGTGAGGCAATCTTGTTCTTTTTGCGCTCGTAGCATGCATGGAAATGTAGAATGAGCCACTGTGTCACATTAGGCCACGGATCGCGGAATTACATTCTAAAATTGAACATGAAAGTTGCTTCGAGACAACTGAGCAGTTCACATATTAGGGTCTCAATAGTGTGGGACCACGATTGTTCATGTTGACGAAGCTCTTGGGTTAGCGCTCGATGAGAACATTAAGGATAAAGCAGTACATGTCTCACTGTGTGCAGTTTCGTCTATATCTATTGCAACGGATACGGTGGGTACATTGACCGATTTCTAAGTGTGGGGTGGCACACAAGTCTCCAAGTGGTCAGACAAACAGGTAAGACTGGTTGCTGAATCGGGTGAGGCGAGAGACCCGGCTGTCACAGCAGGCATGCGTTTTACCTGTTTTGCGTTCGTTATCAGGTCAAATTCGATGCACTATTCGCTGTCATCAAATGTAATCAAGCGCTGCATACTATCATCGATCAAGAGTGATCGCCATTCTACGCACAAAACAGCCGGCATCCTAGAGATTGGTAGTGAACTGTAGTGTTTGGAGTAAATACAACTGAAACCTCTCCAATCGATATAGACTATAAAGATGATGCGGTAACCTGAGACATACGATTCGCCACATTTTGCAGGACCTTTTATCGCTCCGCTTGGCTCTCATTTGTGAAGCAGTAAGTTCCCTTCACTCAGTTCATTAAACCAAAGGGAAGACATACATTACAATATGCCACCATTACGATTGCTCTCGTCAGTCGCAAACGTCATAAAAACAGCAACATGGTTATGTATGAAGAACAACTGACAACATCTTTCGACTTGTCATAATGAAGACCCTGGCGACTTAATTGATTGCCTCTAACGTTTCTGTGCACCTAGGAGGCTGGTGTGATACCCTTAGAAAAGTCTCACTCGCTGCCACTTTGATCAGATTTTTGGTGCGTAACAGCACCTCGGATCCGATCCCCCGTTTCATATCACGATGAGCTATAAAATTAAAGACTGGTACCTCAGGTTTTCCAGATGGCAGTTGAACTGTTCACTGAGCTTGCAATTATTTTGCAAACGTTTCGTCACCAATCGAGATGACATCATCAGTGCGTAGTTGAGTGACGTGCAGTAGCGTAAAGGATCCTTGGTGAGAGTGCGCTGAGCGTGGTGTGCGTGCGTTTTTTTTACCGCCGTGGTTGCACTTGGAGACCAGCAATCTTATTGGTTGGGAATTCGATCCGCGTTCAGCTTGGTTGATGGGCAGATTACCTTGACCCCTTGTGTTTCGTGGCCTTCGTCCGCTTGCTCTTGTGAGCGCATCTGTCCTCAGTTTTGGTTGTCTAGTCACACGTTCCACCATATTCAATCGACTCAGTTAGCGGTCTTTCGCCACTAGTGTTGTATATACTGCATCCAGTTCGATGTGTCGTTTGATTGAATTCGGTGTGGAGTACCAGGCTTCCAACATCTCCCTCGCATGTTTTGTACTTACATTTGCACGGACCTTTACATTCTCCAAATCAAAATGGTGCCCTTTTTGATCTTTATGCTCAGAAACCAATGAGTGCGGATCATGTCTTCTGACGGCCGCAGTATACGCAACACTAGTGACGAAAGACCGCTAACTCAATCGATTGAATCCGGTGGAACGTGTGACTATACAACCAGAACTGATGACAGCTGCGCTCACAAGAGCAAGCAGACAAAGCCACGAAACACAAGGGATCAAGGTCAAAGGTAATCTGCCCATCAACCAAGCTGTACGCGGATCGGAGTCCCAACCAATAGGGTTGCTGGTCTCCACGTGCAACAACGGCGGCAAAAAAGCGCACGCACACCACGCTCAGCGCACTCTCACCAAGGCTCTACGCTACTGCACGCCACTCAACTACGCACTGATGATGTCATCTCGATTGGTGACGAAACGTTTGCAAAATAATTGCAAGCTCAGCGAACAGTTCAACCGCCATATCATGATGAGTTGTCATGGGGCGGTTAATGATACATGATGACGGGCTCCTGAACTACTGGTGCATAAAAAGGATATTTTTTATGATTGCTGTTCAAACCTAACCATTTTGCAAGTACTATCGGTCATGCACAGATTCACCATAATGCGATTCTACCCGGTTGCTCATTTGAGGCTAATGCACAACGCGAACACATGGTCTTCATAACTCTCAAAGCAACTCTTCGCGTAGTTTGAGATCTCAAGTTATTTACCACTTCACCTGCAGTTGCATAGGCAGAACTGCCCATCGGTTGGCTCAGAGAGTGGCTGCACCTTTGTCAAAGTGGTTGGGACAAGTGACGACGCAACAGAACAGAGAAGATCAAGGATAAACCGGAGCCCATTATCATCTATCACTAACCATCTCATGGTACCCCGTCGTCATGTGGACCCGGATAGCGCGTTCAACGCGGTCATGTCGACAGTTACTAAGGCGTTGCTTAGTAGACCGCGCTAGCTTATGTTATCTG